GTCAGAGGCTGAACTACAACATTAAATGAACGGCTGGCAGGAAAGTTGACATTTTAAACCTTAATAAAAAAATCGATACAGGGCTTTAGAATATCGATACAGTATCGTGAAATGAAATATCGCGATATTTCAGTGTATCGATATTTTCTTACACCCCTAATGGAAGACAAGATAGTTTTGTTCTTGTCATTCAGCTGGGACTGTAAGCATTTGTTCAATACAGCTTTAAATGAATTTCTAACAACACTTTTCTGAACTTTTAATCCTTCTGCAAAAGTTGGATAAATTTATAGATTTATGTAATAACACTCTTATGAGTAAACAACAGGGCATCTTGAAAAAAAACAAGAGCTCAAAGCTGCTGACTAAATATTTCTTTATTCTCTGACTGATGGATCTCAAACTAGAAAAACAACAGTTTCGGTACCATTTTACAATAAGGTTTCCCTTATAGATGGCTTTTAAATAGTTTATAGATAGATTATTAATTCATTTGTAAACACTTTATATAAATTATTAATAAGTGTTTGTTATGCTTTAATTAAGGTGAAAAAAACAGACTAAACTGTCCGGTTTCTTTCCAAATAAAGCCAAATCTGTTTGGGTATTAAACATTTCAGACTAGTTTACTACCTTGTAAGCACAACAATGATTAGGAAATATATATTTTAACATATAATATTAAACTGTATTACTGCATTATAAATATCCACAAATATTAAAGGGAACCTTGTTGTAAAAGTGTAAAACTGTACAATATTTTGGATGGGGTGGGATTATTTGGTATGTTAACATAATGGTGTTTTTTTTACTTTTTTGATAATTCATAATTGTTGACAGTGGTTACATGTTTGAACAATAATTTCAAATCTTGATAATCAACACAAAGTTTTAAAAATGATGATTTTTCACATTAAAGACTAACTTTTGGCATTTATAAATATTTGTCATTAATAAATAGTATTACACTTTACTATAAGCCTCCCTTTGACAGTTTTATATTTATAATGTAGTAATACAGTACAATATTAATATGTTAAAATATGTGTTTATCGTTATTGTGCTTGCAATGTAGTAACCTAGTCTGAAATGTTTAATATAGCACCTTTAGATGTAATATGTACGTGAACAGATTTGTGTCATTATTTGGTAAGAAACTGGACAGTTTTGTCTTTCTTGTCCTTAACTATTGTATAATAAACAATTATTTTATAAAGTGTTTACAGATGAATTAATAATCTAACTATAAACTCTTTATAAGCCATATATAAAGGGCAGCCTTATTGTAAAGTGTACCCAGTTTTATTTTCCGTTCACATCCACATGAGCATCTCTTGTATTTAATAGTAATAGTCAATAAATACTCAAACTTTTCAGTGGTATTTTCTTCAATTTGGTTTAATTGCTGAAAGTTGCTTAATATCTTCTGAAGTCTGTAAAACTTTTTTTAAATAAAAATGACTATGCAGCTAAATGTAAGACTTATGTAAATACTTTTCTACAATAACTACATACTTTAAGCCCATTTGATCAAAAATCCTATGATACGTAATACTACTACTTTATTTGTAAAGCACTTCAAAACAACCACAGCTGCAACAAAATGCTGTGCATGTAGGTGACTCCGGTCCACCTCCTTCCACCTCTTTTGAGCAGCACCTCTTTTGTGTGTCTACTCTCCGGTACTACCCCCACCATTGTTGCCACTATCTCCTGCCCACCTAAACCAAACAAATTTTCATAAATGACTTTGCTGCTCTTCTCGCCCACCTCTCAGCCCTTTCACCCAACACTGTCCTGCTGGGAGACTTCAACATTTGTATGGATGAAGACAACGGCCCTCTAACCAGATACTTCACATCCTGCCTCAACAGCTGTGGCTTCCAGCAGTTCATTAGCTTTCCAACCCAAGGGTCACACTTTGGACTTAATATGCTGTTCTGGACTCTCACCTTGTTCCTTTTACTGATCACCTGTTGCTTTCTTTCGGTGTCAATCTAAAATACTCTTTTATCAGACCACAACAACTCAACTTTGTAACATCAAAAACATCGACCAATGAAGCTCTATTTTTGCCAGGTCATGTTTGTAAATGAGAAGTGGTTCTCAAAGAGTTTACCTGGATAAATAAAGGTTAAATAAATTTTAAAAAAATCCGGGATTGATGACAATAATAAGTACAAATGGTTCAAAACTCAGCTGCCTGTGTAATTACCCAAACCTCATCCTCTGCCCACATCACTCCAGTCCAACAGCAGCTCCACTGGCTGTTGGACTGGAGTGATGTGGGCAGAGGATGAGGTTTGGGTAATTACAGTCCAACAGCAGCTCCACTGGCTCCCAGTTAAATCCTGCATCATCTTCAAAATACTCCTCTCGCCCCTCCATACCTAAGTGAACATCTCCCTCTCTCCCGCCTGCTGTTGCTCTGCTCCTCAACTCTGGAACCCTTCCCTGTGAACTACGTAACACCACTTCTCTTATGTGTTCTCTCTAAAGACACACCTATTCGGATTAGCCTATCATTCTTAACTCTCATTTGTTGGACTTTGTACTTTGATTTATGAATGTTTCTAAACCCCTCACTTCATTGTTTTTGAAACAACCCTACTGATAAATATAAATACTTTTTTTAAGTTATGTTCTGTACAGGGTCCTTGGGTGTCTTGAAAGGTGCTTTTCAAATAAAATGTATTATTATTATTAATATTACGTAAAATCGAAGACCATAGAAAAGCACACAAAGAATAAAAACTGAACCATGAAGTCAAATATAAAAACAATAAAATAGGATTTTATTCTTGTACGCCACGTGACACAGTGGAAAAACTTATCAGGATTTCTCCCTCTGTTTCTCCTTGGCCGTGAACACTCTGTAAAAAGACCTCTTTTTGAAGACAAAGACAAGACTAAACAAAGACTGAAGAGAGGGCAAGCAGAAGCAGTTGTGGACACAGCAGACATGGTTTAGTCTGGGAGCTTCAAACGCAAAAAAACGAACAATATTTGTTATGGGAGGACAGACTCTGTGCATTCTTCATGGCTGACAGCCTCACTGGTAGAAGTTACATTCACTACATATTATAGTAAAGATCACCAGTCACTGTGACTTTAAGTTAAGCTGCTTAACAGAGTTTCTATTTCAGGTTTGATTAGGAATAAACAACACAATTCAGAGTTCAACACAAATCACAATCTGAACTATAATGAAAGCACAGTTGTGTATTAAAGAGTATAGAAGTGGAAATAAAACAGCTCTAACAGTTCAGGACTATTGCCTGAAAACATTTCCTGCAACATAAATTAATAAATACAGAAGTAGGCCCTGCATGACTAAGAAGCCGCAACATTACACTTTTAAAACCACTTTTTTTATTTGTACAATTAGTTTTCTACTTACTGTTGAAGGACAAATTTCTTTTCCAGTTTGGTATGTTGAAATACTCCAGTCGAGTCTCACGTACCTAATATAAAGCAAACAAAATAGGAAGCCTCAGAAGATTTTTGTAAATCACATCAGTGCGCAGTCATCAACATTTCAAAACTTTTTTTCACCCATCAGCAATGTATTGAAACCGGTCTTGTTTATGGTTGTGTTTAAATCTATGGATAGTGTTTCATTAGCGTGAACACAAAAACTAATTTTACACGAGGAAAACAGTGCGTCTGTTTCCACCTTTGTAAAGATAAAACCCTGCACAAACCTGGACGTAAGCAGTTCGAACTAATGACATAATGCAGCCACTGATGTCTACACGTGTGAATAACTGGGCTGTGCAGCAGAACGACTGAGATGATGCTGTAATAGGTTAGCATGTGGCTAATACTAGCATGAGGAATAGCCCCCCTCGTCGTGAAGTGATGCGAAACTCACCAGTATTTAACAGAATTCAAAACTCCTCGGCAAAAAGAGGGCTTTTCATTTCCCCTTTATTCAATTATTTATATATGTAAAAATCACAATAACGTTCCAAGTAAAAACTAAACAGAAAAATAAGAAAAACTACAGTTTAGCAGAGCTACAACAACAAACACTTCATTTCCGCCTGACTTCTTCTTCTTCTTAGTTATTTTTTGGCGGTTGGCAAACAACGT